GAAAATGATAACAATAAATATATTCACAAGATTCAAAAAAAAAAGTTATTTTTCTTGTTTTAACTTTTTTTCATATTCAAGTAATTGTCCCATAAAATTGAGATTAGGTGAAACAATCGAGCGTTTTCTTTTTACAAAATCATATGCATCATTCATATTCATTTTCGCATAACGCATTAAAAATCCAATAACAATGGCTGGTGAACGACTTATACCAGCAACACAATGAACAAGAACTTTTTCATTATTTTCTATAGCAGTATGAATAAATGAATAAGCTTGATCAAAATATTCTAATAGATTTTGTTTTTGTGTATCATCAGCAGGTAAATGACAATATTGAAATTGTTCAGAATGATATAAAGGTACATGTGATGTTACATTAACTATACATTGAATTTGTTCCGAAGATAATTCTTCGAGATTTCTTGCATTTGATTCACTACCAATGTATAAACCGTCAATAATATGTGTCATCGGATGATTATCAATGTCATTTTGATTTAATGTTGTTGTTGTTGTTAGTAAGAATGAATTTTGTATTGGTGGAGCTGTCTGTGGTGGTGCTGATTCATCAGTATGATTCGTTGGTGATGATGGACATGAACGAGGTTGTAAAGATTCACAAAGTTGTGGATATAAATCAAAAAATTGATTAAATGGACTATTAAGAATAAGTATTGGAGGAGAATTATTTGTCAGACAACGTTGAATTTCTTCACATGCACATTTAACTGCTAATGATAATTGATTATCATTGTTATTAGTTGATGAATTTGTACAATGACGACGAACATTTGTTGTATCATCATATAAAATAATAAATTGACTATCATTTAGTTGTTTTATATCAATTGTTGAATGTTGTTTTGGATTTGTTTTTAAACGTTTACGAGAAATTTTATCAGCAACACGAAGAAGAATTGAATTACGTATACGATGTTCACTATGACGTATTGGTGAACCACAATCGAAAATTGTTAATGGAATTTTTTCTTTTAATTTATCAGCTAATTCAGTAGGACTAAGAAAACCAATTGATAGCGATGATGATGATGATGATGATGGTAGTAGAATAGGTTTTATTGGACTTGGGATAACAGAAGGGCACATCGATGTAAAACTTAATGTTTGTGGACGAAAGCGTTTAGTTGGCGGAGAAGAAAGTTCTGGTAAGGATGTAAATTTGAGTGGTGAAAGTGGACTATCCTCAGTCGGAAGCAAAGTACTGGGAGATGTTGACGGATTACTAAGACATGGACGTAAGAGTGAAAATGGTCGACTAGTTGTAGTATTTGATAAAAATAAAGATTTTGGTCGAGTTGGTGTTAACGGACCTTCAAAAAAGAAAAGAAAGACATAATAATGATCAAATCTTTTACAAAGTAAGAAACAGAGAAGTAAATGAAATCATTTTCAAACAAAAGAAAAACAATGTTCTGCTCTTACTTTGATCATTTTTGTTTGTTAAATCAGTTTGTAATCGGCAATTATTTTCTGTTACTGTCTTTGTCACATCACAAATTTTATTACACGAATCAGTTTGACTCAATTGCCTTTTTCTAGTCGTTTCTTGTTTTATTGTTAATGTCGAATCAGTTTGAATATTAGTTGTATGAAAATTAAACGAACATCGATGATGTTCAGGATTTGTCGTTGTTCTAGTATTTGTTTCCAATGACGATGATGATGGTGTTCGTTCCATTGTATTTGTTGTCTGACAATAGATTGATGTTGCTTCTGATGTCTCTTCAACTGCGCATGCTGCCATGAACGAATAGGAAAGAAAAAAAGAAGAAGAAGAGTGATCTAAAATGTAGAAACAGAAAAAAAAGAAATAACTGATCGTTAGATTCTATGGATATAGTTGACCTTTGCCCGTTAGAAATGAATCATTTATGAAAAATTCCAAAAATCGAACTTTCATATACACACAGCAATGAATAGACGCCATTTCATTATTCAATGTCACTGACTTCTAATATGTTGTATAATGTAATGACTCAGCAGGCAATAGAAAAAAATACCTTCATAAATATTTCCTTTTGTCCGTTCTTTTCTTTTCTCTTTTTTCTTCTTGCATTAATTTTAGAAGCACAATTGATGACTCATATCACAACGTCGAAGATGCTACATCAATCTTTAACGACAAAACGAATTGTTCTCATTACATTTTTGCTTCCACACTGTTTATAAAGTTTGACTAAAACAACTTAGAGAATAAAACAAAAAAATCTTTAAAAAAATGACTCATGTTTCATTAGGAAAACAAGATTCATATGTATTGATTTCCATGCCACTTATAGTGACGTCATAAAAAAAACAAGAGAAAAACAAAATCTTGACTCAACTAACATACATAAAACAGGTTAGAAAGAAAAGAAACCAAACAGATTGTATATTGAAACAAACGAGCAATATCCAATATTGTATACTATTGAATAATGAATCATATTTGTTTCATCAAACGACGAAAATGCAGTATTTGATGTTTTTCGATATTTTTTTATTGAAAAACTATTACATGGTATGATAATTTTTGTTACACTTTTTTTGTGACAGCATGTCAAATCGTGAGACTCATATCGAAAAAAAACTAAACTTTATTTACTCAAAAATGAAGGGAGAAATATTTAATTAGAATATCGTTGTCTTTTCATACTAAACGAATTATAAAGGAAACAAGCTTAAAAATATATATTTCGTGAGTTTAATTTTTCATATCATATTTTTCTATGCTCTTATACAAATTTCGTTGTCGTCAAATACTCAAACAAACTTCATTAAAAAATAAAACTCGGAAAATAATTGGATAACTTCCAGTAAAAATGTTGTATTTTGTTTTTGAATTTCTATTTTTTTTTTACATCATTTGTAAAAATCTAAGAAATAAAAAACAAAACTTAATTTTTTTTTCTTTTTTGTTTATTTCTTATTATCATTTTATATGTTGTATTAAAACTATGAAAATGTAAAACAAACAAAATCATGATTAATATTCATGATTTTGTATGTTTTGACTTACTAAACATGTTTATTTTATAATCATCAACCTTTACTCCAGCTTTTGACATAGATGATTTTTTTTCTATGTAACATATAACTGAAAATATTGAAGTTAATTTATATAACGATGATATCTAAAGATTTTTTTGTGTTTAATCATCAATCGAATTCGAAAGAAATTGCTTGTTATTACTCACTTGTTAATCATAGCTATGACTAACTAAGGTGACAGATACAGATACATAGGTGATGCAAAATAAATTTTCTAGGAGCAAAAAAGAATTTTTTTTAATGGTTAATTATACGAAATATTTCAGTTCTAATTTCACATTAATCAATTCATTTATTTCAGTCAAAATATTTTTTTTGGATACAACTTCATTGTCAATAGTATAAAAATGGATTTCAAAAACCACGTTCAATATAAACTCTAAATGATCTCTCTTGATCTGTTAGATTACGAATACAAATGAATGTAGGGAAGATTGACAAATACATTGACACCTTCAAAATGGTGCCACTGACGTTATATCAGCAGTTTCATTTAATAGAATTCTTTCATTTTTATTCACAATGGGCTGTACTATTACATGTATTTCATTTTTCTTGTGAAGGAGTTTCTGGAGTTTTTTGTGAAATAATGAGAAACTTTACTTTTTTTCAGACATTTAACCAATAAGGTAGAAAACACTCACAAAATTTGTAAAAGACCAAAAAAAAAAAGAAAACAAAACACAGAAGGTTGATAGAAGTTTTCTTTCTGGGGTGGATAAAAAAAAAAGAAAAGAAATAGTGGTCTTTGTTGTTTCGGCAATTGTCTAATATCAATTCATTGATCTTCAGTTTCTATAATAAAGACAATTATCAGATATACGTGACAAAAGTATATCAATATACAGAGAATAAAAAAAATTTCTAACACTGCGTATCAGTCTTTTCATATTAACTATCAGAATAGAGAGATATTAGGGAAAGTTATTGCATCCTATTGTATTGTTGCTGCGTTGCCTATGTCTGTCTATAGATATAGGCAAATTAACTAAGTATTTTGGGTTAATGGTATCATTTGCACCGCTGAAAGCGCATAAAAAACGATGTTCTATTTTGGTGTTTTAACACATGTTTTGAAAACAATGCATGATAGATAAATCCATAAAAAGATGCTTTTTCGAAAAAAAAAATTCTTTAATGTGGTCCATACAATAAAGTCAAAAAAGCTTTCTTTTCACAATGTTTGCCGATGCTTTATATATACATTTGATAACTATCGCCGGCAGACCGATCGGTATACTGTGCATTACACCTGCGATTTTTTTGTTGAAAGTTTTATATCATGATGTACTGTATCAAAACGGGTGAATGTTTTTGAAGTCTGTTAAAATTGACATAATTGAGTCGATTTTGATGCACTCTGATAGTATTAATGACGTTTGAGGCATCTGTATTCACTACAAAGCCCAAGTTGGCCTAATTATGGAATAAACTTTTATTATGGATGGTGCTGGAAAAATATTTATTAATAAAATATGTTCTGAAACCGTTTTCTTCTCGGTCAATTTGAAGTCTTCCTAATAAATGATTCGAATAATTCTTACATATATACGTTTTTGATTGTTTCTGTTAAAATTCTCATGTATTCGAAGAGAGCAATCATCCAATTTATTCTCTTCATGTTTTCACATTTGACGCTGGACTCGATTAACAGTTTCGTGGTTCCTTATTTTTTTTGAAAAAGAAAACAACATTGAAATATCAATATTTTAGCTTTTGATTTGACATGTCTAATCTCAACCTGTTTTTATTGTTCCTGATTGGATCGATTATATTATTTATGGTATCAGATTTCGTTGGTGTTTGCACTGGAACAATCTACTTATTTTAATATGGCTTTACAAGAAAAAAAAAGAAAAAGAAAATTCGAGTACATTTATAACAATGTTCTATAAAAGCCGGTTTTTTTTAATGTACGAAGTTTCTTTTGAAAAATAACTAAAATGTTGATATTAGTTTCAATCATCAGTTGTATTCTTTTATTATTCTCGAACGTTTTTGGAGGACAAGAATTTTCAATATTTAATAATGATATATGTGATCCACCATCATCATGGACTTCATGGTTTAATACACAAAATCCAATGTTAAATAATGGAAATGATAAGGAAGATTTAGCACACATTCGAGTATTATATAAAGAAGTAGATCGATGTAAAACTGTTTCAAATGTTCAATATTCTATAGTACAAAACCCAAGTAATGCATCTGTATCCTATCAAACATTAATTAATTATAATGGTCTATTTTGTATGGGTTCACGTGCATCATCTTGTCCTAATTATCAAGTTCGTTTCTGTTGTCCACGTGCAGATCAGGGTTCGATTAAACAATGTGGTCAAACATTTCGACAACCTTATCTACATGCATCTATTCGTATAGTTAATGGCATTATATCTAATCCACATTCGTTTCCGTGGGCTGTTTCATTACAATATAAACTTCTTCATGATTGTGGTGGAGTAATTGTTGACCAATTGAATATTTTAACTGCTGCACATTGTCTGGATTATTCCAATGATCTTGGTAATTATTTTGTTCGTGTTGGTGCTCATGATCGAACTTCATCTGGTCAACTTATACCTATTGCACAACTTATTTTACATCCACACTATAATGAAGCTCGTTCAACAAATGATATTGGAATTATTAAATTAGCCAGACCGATTAATTTTACAGAAACAATTCAACCAATTTGTCTCTTGGATAATGTTTGTAACAAAAGAGAAAAACTTTATTATAAAAATAAAAGCTTGATACATTTAGATTGTTGAGCCACCACTTGATACAACCGTTTATGTTGCTGGTTGGGGTAATACTGTGTTTCAAATGTGGGATAGTTCAAGTTCAGTTCTTCGTCAAGCTCGACTTCGTGTCATTTCCAATTGTTCGATGTATTTTGCTTATGAATCTCAGAGACAAATTTGTGCTGCTACCAATGGTCCTGCTGATATAGATCATGGGTTTGTATTGATTGTTTTTTCTTATGATATTACTTAAGATAGATATTATTTTCTTATTTAGATCCTGTCAAGGTGATAGTGGTGGTGGTTTGTTTTATTTGAAAAATGAACGTTGGTATGTTGCTGGTGTAGTTAGTTACGCTACTGGATGTGGACAAAAAGCATTTCCAACTGTATTTACTAAAACATCAGCTTATATTGGTTGGATTCGAGAGATGATAAATCGTCCAATAACAGCATAAAAAAAAATTTTTTTTTCAATACATAAACAATGAAATGAAATGATGTTTGATCCCATGTCGCTCGTTTTTTATGAATCTCGCCGGGATCTCGCGGGATTAACTTTTCTATGCGGGAAGCCGCGGGTTCTCGCCTATCCCGCAAAAAGTGACGGGATCCTGCGGGTTCCTGGCCAAAAAAATGGGATTCTGACAAAATTATTTTATCCCAAATGATTTCTTGTTCATTTAGTGAATCGCATTCTACGATTTTATGTTTAAAATAGATTCAAATTAGAATGTTTGTAGTTAAACAAATAAGTGTAATCAATTCAACTATACAACCACCTACACCTAAAAATGTTCAGTANATTTTGTCTCTCTTCTCCTCCCACCCAAAAAAAACCGAAATTTTGAAAAGGAGGGGGGCCGTAACCCCCTTTTTTCCTATTAATTTTCGGAGGCAGGGGGGCCGTTCCGCCCCCCGCGCCCCCCCCCCCCCTAATTACGCCCCTGGATCGGTGATGTTGACCACTATTTAAAAAAGTAAATATGTCTAAAACTTTTTATTGAATTCACGACGGTTACTCCCGCGATACTTGCTCTCCATGAGCACCACATAGAACCCTTATTGATTACAAATACCATAGATAAATTTATTGAAATTCAGTTCAAAATGATTGCACTAACAAGCCTGTTTTGATTTTGATTTATTAATAGACAAACAATATTTTTGAAAATAATTGTTTTATCTAAAAAGTGGAACAACAAAAAGATGATATACGATCATTTCAATGAAAAGAACAGTTCATCGATTTAAATATTTATGTGATAACTATATTGAAAGTATGATGGCGTGACAATCACATAGTATGCTATTGATTAAGCTGTAGGTTATCCACCTTTTCTTGATACGTGCTGAGAAAATCTTCGTTTTATCGAAAGATAAACATTAATAAATTTTTCACACATTCAATCTTTTGGTTTAAATCGATATTTTATCTTGTTCATTCTATACATATTCTTGTTTCATTATTCAATAGATAAATTTGAAAAGAAAAAAAAGAAGAAAATTCACTGGAAGAAAAAACCTTCTTATACAACTTAAGTTTGATGGAATGTGGAAATCAGAGAGTATCGAAAAAAAGCGAAGTGATTCGTCTAGTAGACACTAAATTTTAGACGTCGATAATTTATTATTGCTTGTCTCGTAATTCTATCGGTTTGTATCTATAACCACTAGTAACAGTGTTATTTACTATTTGCTAAGAAATTAACTAAAATACTCCGAAAAATAACTAGTATATAACAAAAAGTCTATCATCATAGCTATAGCCGCTTCATCTTTACCGGGTTTAGACCAGTTATCATTGATAATTATTTCATTTATTAATTCACAAAAAGGAAAATCCTTGCTTTTATCGAATGATTATATTTTCAAATTTAATAAAAAAGAAAAAAGGCAACAATTATGAAGTATTGGACATATATACTTAATGATGCTTCATCAAAACTTTCTACAAAATTTGAATAATCAATTAATTAAAATGATTGATGGTCACAGTCACACTGTGTAAATAAAGAAAAAAATTGAAGTAAATGAATTTCGTAAAAACAAACACGTTCTCCCTCTTAACTTGTGAATAATTTCTACTATAATTTTACTATTTACCTATACAATAAAAAAAACATTTCTTATTAGTCACAATTTTCTAAAGTACTTTTTAACCTTTCTACAATCAACCGATAGATTTTTGTGTCATCAATCTAAAATAAAAGTATACAAAGTTTTAAGTTTTTTTTTCAGAAACACGAAAATAGTTACTGCTTTTCGTTAGTAATATATATTGATAAAAATCCTAGTCAATAATAAATTAATTTAATCTGTCTAATAGAAAAACATTCGGTGTTTGTTTTTCGTATATTCTTACTTAATTTATAACTTTAAATAACATATTTAACAGTAGTCTATTATTATCTAAAATGTCTTTAGTGAATTTTGAAATTCAAATTTAAATAAAATATCTATTTTATTGATTTATTTAAGAGGTAATCTTCCAACAGCGGAACAAATTTTACATCCAAGTGATTTAATTGAATTAAAAAAATGCATATATGCTTCACAAGTAATTTATAGTTTTTATGTTTTATTTTTTTATTCGGTTTTTTCTTCTTCATAGCGATCATCATTACCACCGATTTGTACACATAATGTATGTGATGATATTAATGATCCTATATTAAATGCATTACGTCGTTGTCAGTTATTTAATGCACGCTTTGATCGAGTTAAAGTTATATTTCATCCTGAATTCTTACGTTCAACAAGTCCACTATTACCACTTGATTATGAAGAATTTGTGCGTGGTTGTCATTTGGGTGTATTTCCATCGTATTATGAACCATGGGGTTATACACCAGCTGAATGTACTGTTATGGGTATACCAAGTATTTCAACAAATTTAAGTGGATTTGGATGTTTCATGGAAGAACATGTTAGTGAACCACAAACATATGGTATTTATGTTGTTGACAGACGATATAAAGGTCCTGAAGAATCATGTCAACAACTTTCACAAGTAAATTGATCAATAGAAAAAAAATGAAAATTTCTCTCTGTTTATTTATTTTTTTTGAAATTATTTTATTTCTATATTATAGTATATGTTTGATTTTTCACAATTGACAAGACGACAGCGTATTATTTTACGTAATCGTACAGAACGTTTAAGTGAATTATTAGACTGGAATACATTAGGAATTGTAAGTAGAAAATAGTTTTTGAAATTCTTTTGCAAATTATAATGAGCAGAATTTATATTATAACAATTGAAATGGATTCTTTCGGAGGCCTATGCTCTTAGGATATACGAATCATAAACAATGGAAATATATTGGCTATTGTGTAGAGAAAGAGGTTTAGATTTTTTTTTTAAAATATCGAGCCTAATTATGAGTAGAGTTTCGAATAGATTGAATTAAGTCCAGTTTAGCTCATGGATCAGTATTTGAATAAAAGCCTATTTGTGTTGACTGATTTCTTGCTAAAATATTGTACGAAATTTGTTCTTTTCGTAGACTTACTTTGCACTTTTATCTGCTTAAATTTCACGAAAATAGCGAGTAGTATACAAAAAAAAAAGAGGGTAGTTAGGCGGCCATTTTTTTCAAACAATTAAATCTTTTAAGTCTAAGTTCAGTTATAACAATTCTTCCTATGAAGTTAATTTGAATCCTTTCGTCAAGTAGGAATATTACTATCGGCGCCAAAATATAATACACACACATGTTTTTTTCAAATAGTTTTTGATAATTAGGAATAACGTAGAAATCTGCAATTCTCACCATTAAATTGTTGCGAACGGGGACCTTAGAAAAACTCTTGTACCTCTTGAACGGAAGCAGCTACGAATATGGGATTTGTGAAGTTCGAAAGAGAAAACTTTTCCCTATCGGCTGGTCTTACTACAAGTCGAAATCCAATCGGTAATGACTTTAGAGTCTCGTTTTCAAAGTCTACACCAAGAAGTCATCTGGTTCATAAATAACGGACCAATAAAATTTTGAACTATTTCAATAAAAATTATTCTTCCCTTGCCAATCGTAAAAACTGCAGATCTCTATGTTGTTTCTATGAAAATTTATTGAGCAAATGGTGACTTGTCTTAGATTTTCCGCTCGATGGTAATTCCTTTCATATGCAGTGAAGTTATTGAACATTTCATTTTATCTTGATCACATCAAATGCATATTTTAGTGACTTCTGGTAGAGTTTTAACTTTCTCACTCAGTTTTTGGAAGCTATTAAATTAGAGATATAAAATATAAAATGAATGATGGCTAAAATCGTGAAACGGAACAAAGTATAACAATTATAAATAGCTTCGATCATTATGAAAATAAAACTGTGTTCAAGAAGGGCTTCTAGAGATGGGTTACTCCTTAGGATTCATTATGAGCTGGTACTCTTTTGCTTGAATTAGATTGAAAAATTTTTTTTTTGAAAAGTCAAATAAAAGATTGGGTCAACCCAAGATCACAATAGTTTATAGATCGGCTTTCTTTGATTCAACTTAGTCTATTCAGAGTTTTTGATCGCAACTTTTTGAGCATTATATAATCATTTTTTTCGAAGTTACATGAACATTCTTGTTCATAGACATATATCTATTTTTTTAGTATTACTATCGAGCTCGTCAAATGGTTTTACAACGTACTCACCCTGAGTTTGAAGAAGAATTGCTCAAAATTGTACGTATTTTTTTACAATTAATCAACAATAATATTTTATTTTGTAATTTATTTAGACAAATGAAAGTTTTTCTGCTCCATCAACACCAGCTGTATCTCGTTCATCAACACCAGCACCACCTGAACATGATGAAGGAACTGATGATGAAGAAGAACAAGATTCATATGATAAGGTAACAAATTTAATTACCAAAATATTTCATTTTATTCATTTATTTTTACTGTTGAATGTTTTCAGTAAAAAGAATCGGACAATTTTTAAGTTTTCCCTTCCCTATCAAAAATCTATTTTCGCTACTGAACAACTGATATAGCTAAATATTTCAGGAGATATGAGCCGGAGTCTAGGAAGTTTAAAGTAAAAACTTCAGTTCAAAATATTGAGTTTTTCAAGGGTTATCCTTATAATAAGGATCAAAGACAAGGTATCTGTGTGTTCCAGATTTCTTTCTGAATCTAATGATACATATCTCGGGTTGACATCAAAATGTAGTCAAGACTTGCCGATACAACTTAACAGAGCCGGATTTTTCTAATTCTTCTTTATCAATTTTTGGCATCAGTTCTTTTTTCGAAGCACAATTTTCTCTTCAATTTAAAGCCTTTCTGAACTTCTTAACCAATGTACCCGTTTACTAAAACGATAGAGAAAACACATCGATCGTAGCCTATCATGTGTTATTGACTATGACAAATAAAATGAAGCCTTACGCGTACTTATACGAAGTCGAAAAATCTGAATCTAAAAGAGGAAAAGCATATGAGGCGTCAGTATTCATGTCGTCATTTCACAAGAAAAAGAGAAGAGAACCTATGTTTATGTCAGAAGGTATCTCTTTTGACATACCACCATTGTCAAAACAATTATATAATTAAATGAGTATTTGTAGGGAAACGAATGCTGAGTATAAGGCCATTTGCTCAAAGACTTGCCACACTTGCTATTTCATACATTTCTGCTAGATTCTCCGCTATAGGACGCTTTAGAAAAAAGTTCAAAAAGGTAACAATAACTAACATTGTCAAAATACTTATTTTCTCTAATTTCACCATCAATCAGTAAAACTATTTAAAAAAAAACATTAAAATTCGAATATATAATACTGTTTTCGAAAGTAGACAATGAGGACTATTCACCTACAAAAAAATCCCAAAATTGAGTTTTATGACCAGGAAGGCTTAAAATTAGACTTCGCTGAAAAAGGGTATGTTCAGTGGGATTTGTTAGATTTTATCTGAAGATATCCGTTTTTTTTTATCACGAAAATTAGCCAAATACACTATAAACAAGTGTCGCTTTGAAGTTTTATTAAAAATAGAGATAGTTTTCGAATGTATTATCTTGGTTCGTAGACATCTAAGATTAGTGTTAAGGCCATAAGTTGAAAGAGTATTTCGTATCCAATGAAGAATTTTCTTTGTTCTACTGTTCGATGCTTCTTTAAAGATGTCATAATCCACATTCCGTTTTTTGCACAAATATTCGAGTTGATCATGCTAAAAAAGATTTTATGTGTCCATAGTATTCAATGTTAATTTAGGTTCGAACCTTCGCTACGTGTGAGCGACCATTAGTTGGTCATACATCCTATCGTATTTCTCTCACTTCATATATTAATTTTCTTTATTTTAATTGAATTTTTAATATCGTAAATATTCTTTACATAAGAAAATAATTTAATTTGAAAATCAATTAAAATTTTCTTCTCATAAATCAAGACACACATTGAAGCAAAAACACCACCGATCCATGAACCAGACGACGAACCACATTTGGAACGTGCTGATTCAGTTCGTCTTCTTCCAATGAGAAAAAAAGTTCAGAATGATACTGATCATGCTGCATCTGCTACTGGGCCTAAGCTTCAATCAACAATTACAGATGCTAATGATGATGAAGTTCATGAAATAACAAGTAGAAAAGGCCATCAAGGAATTACGTATGTTAGTACAAGTAACAGTAAACCTGGTTTATTACCTGATGCTCATACAACTGCATTAAATGATAAGCTCAATTTAGGCTTACCAGATCGTGGTACATTTTCAGATTCACATGATGGTAAAAAACAAGCACCAAATAATGATACAAGCTCTTCAATATCAACACAAAAAGATTTTTCATTACCTGATACATTTCTCGGTTCATTAGGCGGCGCTGACACAGCTTCATTTGAACCAACAAGTACTATCGGTGCTCAATATTCATCCGCTTTCATTGATCAACAAGCTGCAAAATCAATAGGTAAAGAACAAATATAATAAAAACCAATCCATATGAAATCTTTCACATCTTCCCAATGATTTTATTAGTATGCATCAATATAAAACTTTTATAGTGAACCTTAATTCAGCTTACAAGTAGATCATACATATGTTGTCCATTGTTTTTTTTTTCTGTAGTATTATCTGTAGTTTTTTTTTTTTGACCCTATATTCAATAAATTGTAGCATTCAAGCAGTACAGAAAAAAAAACAATAAAAAAGAAATGAAACAACACGCTATATCTAATTGACAATATTTTGTACATTGATTATTTCGTGGAACCAACACTTTTATAACGACAAGCAAACATCATCCAAGTAGCAAGAGCATTTTCTGGATAAGTAAATACACGTACACGAACAGCTAAACGTACTTGATCTCCATGACAACAAACAATTTCTTCACATAAATTATTTCTATATATATATATATATTAATAAAATAAAAATAAAATTTCGTATCGATAATCATAAAATATCTATATAAACTTACTTCAAACTAAAAACAAATGCTTTTCGTGCATTTTTATGAACAAATTGAATTGGAAAACCTTTGAAAGCATGTCCATTAGGTACAGCTCGTCGAACAGCTTCTTGAAATTCTTCATTACCGACAGATAAACCTGTAACACGTTCTAATTCATATGAAGAAAGTGCTGGACTTAATAAATATGATAAGTGATCATCAAATTGTGTTGTATAACCAAGATCCTAAGTATATTTTGAAAAAAAACAATTTTAAATTTAATCAAATCAATCTTAATATAATATTACAAAGAACTTATAGTAGAGAATAAAGATGGAAAAAGAAAAACATTGTAACATACGATTGAAGTCCGTCGAGTCGCTTCCTGAGTCGAGCCCGAATCGGTTAATCTCACACCCGACGTGGTTACGTCCAAAAAATTCAAAGATATTTGCTGCGGATCCAGATTCTGAGCTATACACTCCTCATTTCAACGATATTTTTTAGTCTGAATTCTGCTACTAGCACACACCTGATACATTTATCAGGTAATCTTGATGATGATCTCATAATAATCAAATTATACTTTAAGAGTATCATCCATTGGTTTACTGTAGATTGAAATCAAGAAACCCTATACACGATATGAATTCTTCAGTCTAGACGAAACTGATATTATAGGGAACTAATTCGATGTTGAATCGAGGCATCAGCAAAGTTTGTTTAATAAAATTTCAACAGTCTTCCTGTTAACTATCGAAGAGTATTTGAAAGTACTCTAAAAGATCAATACTCTATGTGTACGGAAAGCCGCATTATATTAACTTGGGACTATCTGCGAAAGACGACAGAGGACTCTAAACTGAAACATTATTACACTTCGCACCTTTTAAAAATACCAAAGACATATAATAAGAGAGTGCAAGGATGAGGTTAATTGATGACACATAAATTTTAATCCAGAGAGAAAGTAATAGATGATATTATTTTCAAGCAAAAATAATATCTTGAATCTATCAGTCGTCTATTTTGTTATAAATATATAAATAAAAGATGACATGATTACAAACACAACACGGTGATTTAGTCAAATATCTCTTTTGAACTCTTCTCTATACGAGTTACTCATCTTTTCTACTTTTGAATCAAATTGAAGTACTGTAAGTAACAGAGTGTATTAACTATGAATTTCCAATTTTTTCAAAAAGGAATTAAGTTTTCTTTTATTTACTTTTCTATGTTGAATAATCAAAGCTCGAATTTGTTTTTCAATGTCATTTGATAATGCAATTGGATCAAGTGTATTACTCATTAGATGAGGCATCATTGGTGCAGTAAGAACAAGACCAGGAGTATTTACTGATGCAATAGCATCAACTGATATTGCTTTCCATTTTGATTGATCTGTTAAACGAAATACACATGTATCAACATTACATGTTGGCTAAAATAAAAATTAATCAAATTGTATATCAATTATTACAATGTCATTTTCATACTTGTATATTTGCATAAAACAATTTATCATTAAATAAACAGCCAATAGTTTTATATGGATGTCGAATATTATTTAATGATAGTTTATCAAGTGGAGGATCATCTGGATCAATCGAAATATGTTGATATCTAATAAAATAAACTAAATTCTACATAAACATAATTATGCTGTTTTTTTTAAATTTCTACCTGTTTCCATTTAAACTCTCCCAAAAGAAAACATCATCTGCACCGATCGTTACAACCCATGAATGAATTTGATTTTTACCTTTCGTTCCAATACCTTAATTAAAACAAAGCAATTATAAACATCTATTGTAAAAACAAAAAATTACGACTATCGTATTAGAATAAGCATCAACATTAATGCTTTAGTATTATTTGGCATTAGTATTTTCTAATGAATGTAAATTTTCAGTCTAGATTTTGCTGCTCGTCCCCACAGTATACCAACCCGGTGAGCGGGCAAAAAGCCAACGATTATTAAGTACGCTTTCATAGTAACCGAGTAGCCTTTTCAGGCTTATTTGCCAATTCTTTTTGATTGCTTCTGGTTTTCGAAGAAGGTACAACTGATCAAGCTGAAGTTTTTACAAAAAATAAGAAGCCATCTGTTCAAAAAAAAAGAAAGAATTCCGTCGTGGGTTTTTGCAGGAAAATCCTGCTTTTCATACAGCCGCATGCTTTCCTAGTCCCACTGAGTCCTACTTATGGACAAAATATTACTTCGATCGGCGATTAACAGTTGGAAATGTTCTCTCGTTAGATATAGTTCTTAGGTATCTCTAAAAGAATTTTCAATCCAATAGGATAAAATTTGATGAGAGTTCTAATGCACCTAGATGTGGCCCTATGAAAAATCAATATTTTCCAATGAAAACCCACTGCAATTTTTTTTTTCTTGAATACATGTCTCCTAATTTTGGTACTTTATCTTTGGTAAAAATTTCGGCTTGATCGGTTGTACCATCTTCGAGAATTAGAAACGGTCAAACAGGACAGGAATTATCCTTAAGAATGAAGCCAAAGAACACATGTGAATTTCACATTTTAGTCTCAAAGAGGCTGCATTGGCAAGCTTGTTTTTTTAAAGCTAATGCTAATACAACAGTTTTACAAGAAATAAATACGTACAAACATAAGCATCAAGTCCAAAACCAAGTAATAAACTACATAGAAGAACAGAATGATTTTCACAATCCTATAAAGAAATTTGTTCAATATAAAAAAAATAAATAATATGTAATCTATTTTTACTCCACAATTTCTTGCTAGAAATGCATGTGTATGTGTCCACATTTCAGTTCGATCAGTATTACCAACAACTGAATGACGATCATAACCAATTAAACTAACAAACCGTGCAGCTTCTCGTGGTGTATCAAGTAAACGACCTGAACGAAGTGGTTGAACAAAAGAAAATACAGGATGATTAACACCATTTTCATCCTAAATATTATTTTATTCTTGTATTGACATTCGTAGAAAAAGAAAAAAGAAAGACAAATTACTTGTCCAAATATTTTAACAAGTCTAGTTCGATGTTCTTCTCGAATTTCCAAAAATTCTTTCCACCATTGTTTAGCATATATAAGAAACAAACGTTCTCGTTCTGTACTTTTCGAATGTTCAAGATCGAGTTGTGCTGCTAGAACATCGTCTGATACGGATTCATTTAATGGTGGAATTAATTGTAAACAAACATTTATAACACCAACAGGTAATTTATTTTCTGCGCCTAGAAAAATTTAAAAAAAAATTGACATGTACGTGTTTTTTTGTATGAAGAAGAAAGAATATTACCAATGCCATTTAATTCAAGTATGCGATTAGTCTTATTAGCTTGTGCACAAAGAACTTGACGCCATTCGAGAAAATGAGACGAAACAAGATGAATTTCGCCTAATGTATCTTTTCGTGTTAAGACAATATGAACACGATCGCAAATCGACAGAAGACTTTGAGTATCGGCCATAGCACCAAATTCACCTAAATGAAATCATGTTATCTTGTCTTTATGTTATTAAATACAAAACAAATTTTATTTGAAATTTATCTAGGAAAAATTCATTTTAGCAACGGACAATGTTTTGTGCAAATCTCTTCATTAGCTGAATGTATGTTACAAAAAAAATTAATTAATTCGAATTGAGATAAATCAGGATAAAAGTGTTCCACGGTTTTCAAAAACCTAGAAATTTCTCCAGGAAGACCACTGTAACTAACTATCACATTTATCTTATTCTTGTCTGATATTAAATTTTTGTTTTTTTCGTATGTCAAAAAACTATGACTTAATAATTAAAGTATGAAATTATAACTTGTTATCAGTCAAAAACAGTCGATAACCGCCGACTTTTTTTTTCTCATGATTTGTTTTTACTAAAACATTAGTTAGATTAATCAAACTAGCTACTTTCTAAAGGTCCTAGGTTTTCGGAAAACTCATCTTTTCGAATTTTGAGTATATGAAGAACTCAATCAGACTAGCTTTCATAAAAAATTTCACGAGTTTTAAACAAAATCTATTGGAGATATGAGACTTTCAAAACAATGCATGTTGTACACATTATTCATGGAAAAGAGTCTATATTTCGAAGAGACTTCGTTTGAAACTTGTGCATTATTTTTTGTGCAAGCTAATTTAGTTCAGTTTTTAAACATGTACAAAGTATCATCCATAGGCAACAAGTCGTTTAAATTGGGAAGAGAACATATCGAAAGATTTCCTCGCAAGTTGTACATTATTTGATTGATTAGATAAATTTTATTTTCTCCCCTTTCGCTTCAACACATTCTCGTTGTTTTTACTCATAGAATCAGTATTATTGAGCTTTCGTCAATAATACATACGGTTTACGTAAAAAGATTCTAACAAACTGGAACCAATTTCCGTGACTCACGATCATGGCCTATGACCAAAAAACTTGGTCACACCGGGCACTATAGATAACATTTGAAAAGGCAATCCTATTGTTTTTCAGAAAATGTCATTCATATCTTAATTGCACAAGTTAATTCTCTATGTAAATCTTTTTAACTAACTTGCAAATATGTCCTTTCAGCATTACAATATGTTTTTTTTTATTGCGTATGATTACTTAAGATGTTTCAAGAGAAATGTTTTACCTTGTTGTTTATCTTTATGAAGTTCAAGTAAAAATCCTTGGTTAATATATGGTTCACCAGCACATGCAAATGGTCTTGTACGAAAACGTTGATTACGAAATAGAATTGATATACTAAATGATGATGCTAATGATGATGAAGAATAGCCTGGATAGCCTTCAGATTGCGGTTCATTAAGATAATCTAAATACATTTTAATTTAGAAAAAAAAACAAAAAAGATTAACTTTTTCATATCGATTTTTACCAGTAAAAGCTTTTCCATTAAGAAATTGTAAATAAAGATGTCGTCTATTTGCATCAAAATTAACTTGTTCTAATGGTACAGTAACTAATTGATCAGTATCGACTGTATTTACAGTTGGTTTTGATGGTGCAATTGATTGACGTTGTCTAGGAGATGGTTGTTGAGTACCAAACTGTATATTTTGCATCATAGAATCAACGATACCACGATTTCTTAATTCACGTATTAAAGTATCTCGACCAATTGGACCTGAATTCGGCTGTCGTTGAGCATAATCAGCAAGAATATCACGAATTGCATTATTAATATCTGATTGTGATAGATGATTTGATATTATTTGTTTTATTTTAATTATTTCGTCTGGTGCTACTGAAGCCATCGATCAAAAGCAAAAACTTTTCTTTTTTTAACTTTTTGAATCGTATATGACATCGGTCATGATAAGGAATTTATCGTTGCTTAGTAACTTGAAGCAAAAAAAAATTTTATTTATTAGAAAACGTTTAAAATTTATTTTCAATTAAGAATTTTTCATTTCTTACTCAAGAAATAAAAAGTTTACTGTGAAAATTTTCAGCGACATCTACAATAAAACTCAAACCTTCATTATTTTTTTTTTCATTTTCAATACATTTTTCCTACCAATCAAATCTTCCCTTTTGAACTTACCTAGTGTCTCATCTTACTCGTTTTTTTTAGTCATTATTACAATTAGTAAATATGGACATTGTTTTATAGTTTCTCAGAATTCTAAAAACTGTCAATCTTATAAAAAATAAATTAAGGTTTCACTTTTCAAAATTATCACATTTTGTTTAATGATATGTGATGTTCAGTGTAAATTAGATTTCTTTTCGTTTTCAGATTAATTTAAAGTTTTTAAAAATTAGAGATTCATTTCTCGATATTCATCACTATATTGTACTCTATTTATTTCATTTGAGTCTATGCAAATATAGTGATGTATTTTGAGAATCTATCACACTCTACATAGAATAGAACTTGCATGTTTACTTACTTATAGTAGAAAAATAGATATTTTTTCTTTCTTATTTTACTAGTGCAAATGAGGAACTAAATTTTAAGAATATTTTATACAACGTTTAAGATTAAACGAAGATTGATCAATGTGAAATTATCTTAACAGATTTATATGAACTNCCCCACGAAAAATTTTAAAACCATTTTTTTTTTCCAAAAACCGGGGCCCGAGGGGGCCTAGAAAACCCGCGGCCCCCCCCCCCCCCCCCCCCAGCCCCTCCCAGCTCAAAATCCTGGCTCCGCCACTAGTTATAATGTATGTTTGCCCTTCTCACTAGTCATAGATCATAATTTCTTTTGAACTCAAACGATCGAGATCGGACTAGTCTCGTTGACCTAAATTTCTAAGATAAATACTTTATATGAAATATATTGAAGAGTTACACAATGATATTAATCGTTTCTATGAGATGCATTCGCAAGTCAAGAATTAAGTACTTCTATCTTTTCTAATCTTAATTTAGATGAAGCAGTATTTTATCCAGCGTGGAGTCGAGTAAACGATGCTTCTACGAAGATCTAATCGATTCTTCCGAAGTTTATGGTTATTATATCATGTCCTATGTTACCAAGAATAAGTATTTACCCTTTTGAAGTTTAAAATCGTTCCTTTAGTAAAGAAAATCTGAATAAAAAAATGATTTATATCAATAATATCGATAAATATTGTTAAAAAAAAACTTTTCAATAATCTTAGAAAATTTCTTTTCTAGGAAAATGATGTTAGTACTTTATTTCAAACAGAATCTGAAATAGAAATTCAATCTGAAAATAAAAAACGAAAACGTGAATCTTCAATTGTTCTTTCTTCAATTTTACCAAATAAAGTATGAAATGCAAACAATATCTTTGTTCTTTTGTTTTTCTTTCTCTTTATTATTATTATTGTTTAGATTGTTATTGCTACTACTGCTTTACTTGATGATCAATGGGTAAAAAAAAAAAGAATTTTTGTTTTATTATTATTATTATTATTATTTTGTTATAGAATGATGTTCTTTCATTTCTTCGTCAATTTCCTCAAGTACAATTATCAACAAATTTAAATGTTAATAATTCAACAACACATTTAATTGTTGATGATAGTGAAAATCATTTACATTGTACAATAACAAAAAAAATTGTTCAAGCAGCTGTACGTCATCATATATTTATAATATCATCACGTTGGTTAAATGAATGTATGCGTTTAAATAAATTTATTGATGAACATCCATATGAAATTATAAGTGATTCTCATACAACACTTCGTATATCGGAACAAAATTTTAATCAAACAAATAAATATTTATTTTGTCAAAATTCACAATATTCATATGCATTTGCTATTGAATGTCGTCAATGTCAAGGTTCAATAAATCGCAGTGAATTAATTGAATTAATACAATTAACAGGTGCACAATTATTTCAAAATGAACAAGCTGTCGATGTATTAATTGTTTTATGTGATACAAGTGATAAAAATATAAATAAAATAAAAGAAAAATATATGAATGCACCAGCATCAAATATTAAATATGTAACAAGTGATTTTTTACTTAAATCAATTATTAAATTTGAAATACAAGATATTGACAAATATTCTTTATAAAAGTCGATGAACATATTATTATTATTATTATTACTTATCATTGTCTTGTTGTTTTCTGTGTATTCTTTCTTTCTTTCTTTCTTTCTTTCTTTCTCCTCTCTTCTTCTTCTTTTTTGTGTGTATGTGTTGGTTTCGTTTGTACGTGAAAAAAAAAACTTAAAATAGAAACTTTGTTGTGAAGTGTTAATGTGTATGCGAATAAATCATTTTTGATTGTTTCTTTTCTCTCTTGCTCATAGCGATCAAATATATATATACATATTATTTAGATATTAGAAAATGATATAAAGTATAAGAAGAAAGCAATTGTTAATGAGTATTTAAAAAAAAAAAAACAACAAATGGTATGTTTTTTATAGTTGCTGAGAGTATTAGAAGTGCTTTTCTTCTATTTTTATTTTATAGAACATAACAAATTGATGACAACCAAATTAATATTCAAAGCTTAATGAAATTGGAAACAAGAATTAAATTCTAATGTTTTACTGGTTTTTTTAAAAAACATGTAATGTCCTATAATGTGGTGTCAATTAAAGCAAGCAATATTGTATTTGTTAATAGATATGGACAATTTCGATTTTATGTGCTATTTTAACATTGCATAGCTCTTTTTGTACTTTCCAAATCCTACTGCAAATTAGCTACAATCAAAAATACAGGTTTTTATTGTAAAACTTACTTACTTGAATTCTAACTATAAAAAGTCATATTTTCTCTGATCTTATTTTGAAGAGATGATTCTTCTTAAATTCACTATTGTCATCAAATATTTGTGTTGTTGATTTTTCTCATTTTCACTTAATAAGTTAGTAATGTAACAGACATTGATAGAAATCTATTGATTTCGAATTCACTCAAGCAATGAGAAAACAAACTATCATTCATGTACTACTGATAATCACTATGTTTTTATCAGACATCAAAACTTTCCAAATAATGATCTTGTGATTTGTAAACCTAATGCTAAAGAGTTCAAAAATATTTGTTAAACAAGTTTTAACAAAAAAAACTTCAATTTTTCTTTTAATAAATTTTAATTGATATAAAATTTGATCATTCTACATCGAGAAAATTTTTTCATTGATAAGTTTTTCTAATAAATTAATTTAATTTAAATATTTCACATAATGATATTTGTGGAAATATAACTAGATATCATTACAAAAGTTCCATTTTGTTGCCTTCATAGCAACATGAATAATCATTTTGAGGAAATTATTGCTTGTTCTTCCTCTTTCTATATCGTAATTATATGACAGATAATTCTATCGAAAAGAACTAATTAATTAAATTCAGTAAATTTTTTTCAAACGCCGTACGGCTAATAATGCATAAGCTCAATTAACCCTTTAGCTGCGGATCTTTTTTAAAGAGATGCAAAAATTATGATCTTGTTAATAAAAGCCTGAAATGGATTCTATACGCCACAAGAAACAGTGAATTTCGTGAAGAATCATCGAACTCTATAAGATTCTCCAATTGTGAAATCAAGTAGAGTATCGCAGAATTTTATGAAATCTCATAAAATCTAATATCTAAAGTAACAGCTGCTCCTCAAACCATAGTGGTTCCGAGATTTCCTAGATTCTCGAATATGTCTAGATCCATACTTTCTTATTTTCCTTTTAGATACTTGCATAATAAAACCATACGTTTAGGCTATGTAAAATACTATCGATTTAAGGGAACGAAAGAGAGAATATTGTTAAGGTCTAGTGAAGATAGATGATTGTACAGGGTTGTGCATAACATTTTGCTAGGGGGGTAGCGTCATTATTTCAAGTTGAATACCTAATGAATTTTATACCAAATTAAAGAGCGTCGAAAACTGNTGCGTAAAAACGCGTTAAAATTTTGAACGAAAGTGAAATTGCAAAAATGTGTGGTTTTTACGCTATTTTACGCGTTATTTTTCGATGCTTGTCTGACTGGGCTCAGATGTCTGAAAAGCCTGTGCGTTTCTTCGAAAACATTGGCTCTTGAGGAAAGTTTAACCTCGATATGGTGGACACCTCCATATAGTGGACACTTTTGAAAAGTCCGAAGGGTGTCCACTATAGAGAGGTTTCACTGTATGTAAAGTGAAAAATCTCTAGCAGATTATAGTTATTTTCCGATTTTCTGCCATGTTGCTTTTCGTTTTCATGATTTCGTTTTTGTTGATTTAACATTAATATTTGTATTCGAACGGTTGATTTAACTGGCAAATAAGTCTGTCATTTATATATCAATTATATTTTCACCAGATCTCAACGAACTATTACACATCTTGAAAAACTCAGAAACAATGACATTGATCATATGACGACTGTGCCATACCAATGTATTATTACCCATCATCGCTGATATCTAAATTTATCGCATCTTGTAGTTTTTTGTTGTTGTTGATGACATCATTTACTTTTTTTATGAAAATATTTCGAGATATATTCCTTACTTTGAAAAACTCTCAAATCATTCTAATTACAAATACATATTTGAGAAAAGAACTATTTGTTATCCATCTATCAACAAGAAAAAGCAGGATTCAATCGACAAGCAAATATATTGATGAAACATTTTTATGTAATACTACTTTAAAGAGCCTATTTAAATGAACGAATAATAATGCAAACATTTTCTTTATAGTACATGATTTTATTGAAAAGAATGAAAAATAAATTAACTTTTTATTTTTGTATTAATATTTAAAAATACACAATTTTTCTTAAAAGCTCATTATCACATTTAACAGTAAGAATTTTCTTCTAAAAATTACCATTGAAGTTTTTTCATAACATCAAATATTTGTTAATGAACATTTCAAACGTCTTGCCGTTTTTTTTTTTTTTATCATTTATCATTCATAAACTTTTACTCTAGATAGTAAAAAGAGAACAAAAAAACGAGAAACTAATGTCTTTAAAAGATGATCCATTTTATAATAATCGTCTGTATAAATTACTTTCTAATCGAATAATTTATTCGAATGAACTTTTACAACAACTCAATTCATTACTTCACCAAGAACCTAATTTAGCAACATTCAGTCATCCAAAAGAAGGTTCATATTTTCATATTATTTGTCGAAATTCGAATGGTCAAGAAAAGTAAATATCTATTTATTTGATAGTATTGATTGCTTTTTTTTTTGCGTAGTATCGCCTTTCGAATGATTTATGCATTGAGTAATGCTGGTGCCAATCCTAATCTAACAAATGCTAAGGGTAATACACCTTTGCATGAAGTTCTGATTCGAGGTTCTATTAATCATGGATTTAATCTAATTCAGGTATTTGATTTAATAGAATTTTTTTTAAAATATCCGTTTCAAATAGACGCGAAATGCCATTTTAACAATAGCAGAGAAAAAAATTTCCGGTCATATATTTGAGCACGACTGAGATTGAACAAAATGATATAAAGCTAATCTATGAGTATCAATTATTGAATATCATAAATCTATATTAATAACTATTGAGAAAATGGCAAAGTTTATCTGTTTACATACAGCAAATATTAAAAATATTATTTAACTATTTCTGTTAAGGCCTTATTTCGTGTTGGAGTCGATCCAGGTATTGTTAATCATGAAGGCAAAACAGCAAATACTTATATTAAAAACAATCCACAATTAACAACTTTATATAAAGGTTATGGTGAAGGTATATGGGCTGCTATTGAATCAAGTAATATACAAGAAACAGAACGATTAATTAAAGGTAAATAAATAATAATTTTTATTTTAATATATAAAACTATTTGTAAAATAAATTTTAGGTTTTATTAAAGTTAATTGTAAACATAATTCAAATAAATCCTTATTAGATAAAGCATATGATCTTAGTTGTACATCTATTCTTAATATTCTTGCTGATTATCAAGTAACAAATGAATTTCTTCATTCAATATTAGCATGTGATTGGAATCGAGCGTCAATTATATATAAATGTGAAAATAAATTTTTAAAATTAAATTCATTTGATTCTATTCATAGATTAACATGTATTCGAACATGTTCAAAATCATTATTAGAATATTGTCTTGATACATATTCATCTAAACCATTTGAAATTTTATTTACTAATTCATCAATAATAAATATTGATGTTAATATATTATGTACGGATGGTTTACCATTTTTTTTTCATTGTTTTAATGATTTTATTTCAAATGATATACGAAAAATAATTTTATTAAATTCAAATATGTATACAAAATCATCAAAAGGTGAAACATTTTTATTTTATCTTATTTATTTATATACTAAAAATGAAAATAATGAATATTTAAATCTTTTTATAAATATTCTTTATCATCATCCATTACTTCTTACTCAACGTAATCAACAAGAACAAACTATAATTGAATATATTGAATTTACAACATCATTATTAATTTATAATAAATTACGACCATTTTATAATGCTATTATGGATATATTAATAATACAATTAAAAAAAAATTTCATTATTAAACAATTTATTTTAAGTAGTTTTGGTCATTATTTATTAATATTTTTTCAAAATAAAAATTTACAAATGACAAAATATGTTTATAATCTATTATGTTCATTAAAATCATATACAGGTTTACCTGTTTTAATAACGGATTTAATACAAGCTATTGCGAATGATGATTTTATGAAATTAAAAAATATTTTGGAAACCAAACCGAGTATTTTGTATGCGAAAGATTCATTTGGAAGAACATGTGCACATCTAGCGGTACTTCATCAAAGATACATTATTTTAAAGTAAGACAAATCATCTTTGTACACAACCATTTTGATAAATAAATAACAGAAAACAATATTTTAAATTTAATTTATTGTAAATACCTTTATTACGATCAATTTTAAGTATCGTAACTATATGATTGAATAGCAGATATTGAATCCGTTCGTATCTTTTTTGAAACCAAATAGAACGCATTTCATCTCTGTTAAGAGTAAACACTTCATCGATTCTCATTTCGTTGTTTGTCACAGTATAAGATTGTACTTAACTAATATTATATTT